ACTCTAATGATGGTTGCTTGGGTATACTTCTGGCTTTTGCACAACTTTTTCCTTAGAATTCTCATTCTTACTGTCAATTACTCACACTCTAAAATTATTCAAGGCCTAAATCAAGTCCAATTGCCTTCAAGAAGCTTTCTTCCACTCCTATCAGTTTAGTAAAAGCTTTTTTTCCTCAGATGCCTGTAGCACTTTGTTATCTAGACCTTTGTTGTGCACATATTTTAGCTCCAATTCTGCAAGCCTTTCCTCCCCTGCCTCTGGGTGGGTTTGTGAGCTCTTCAAGGTCAAGGTCAAAGATTATGTTTTCTTGCTTTTTCTCTGATTAGTGTGCTGTGAGAATTTTCAGTAACAATTCCTGGGCAAAGTGAACTTTAAAAAGTATTAAGTTCAATAAATTCTATTTTCCTAAGAAAAGACTTCAAAGCTGACATATGAAGGCATGTAAACTATAATTTACTGGACTTGCTGTTTTTATTATTTTTTTTCAACAAAATACAGATTCTAACACTTCTTGACAACTGCTTAAAGGAGACAGATGCATGCTTATCAAATTTCAGATGGCACAGACTAGAAGTAATAAATAATGCACAAGATGACAGAATCAAAACGAGACATGCTGGAAAAGAGCAGCTAGCATTAAAGAAGGATAACTATAAAATTAGATCTTTTTAAAAAAACAGCTATCCAATTTCAGTATGGAAAGATCTAACTAACATCAATTTATAGGAGGAGATTTTCAGGTTTTAGTTGGTCGTTAGGCTGACAACAGCCCAGAGTGGTTTACAGGGCTCTGCTCATAGGCAGAAGGCATGGGGGCGGGGGGGCAGGCAAAATGTTCAGACTCCAAGGAAGCACTGGTACAAATGAAGGTTACTAGGTAGTGGCTAAATGGAAGTTAAAATGAAGCCGCAATGTCCGGTGAAATCCACAGTAAAGGGAAAACAAAATCCTAACTTGGGCCAGCTAAACAACTGGGCAATTTTTGCCTTTGAAACATTGATAGGAATCCTACATCTGAGGACAATATGGAGTGATTTCTGGTCATTAACTGGTACTAACAGGGCAGGCAGGGGCTTCTGTGAGTTTTGTTTTAGAAATAGAACCTAGAAGGATTTCCTTCCTTATTTTAGTTTTGGTCTTACTCTCCAGTGTCAGAGTCAGAGCTGTCATCCACTTAGGTCTCCTTATTTCAGAAGCTGAGATATACTATCATTTGGAAATTCAAGTCAATCTGTGAGGAGGGGAAGGAAGCTACATCTCATCTTCTCTGGGCTCAGCTGGGACAACCATTCCAGGATAGAAATTCACACTTTCTAAAATCTAGGATCACAGTTCTAGCAAGAAGGCTGTAACCCAGGCCTTGGTGCTAGACCCCTGAGAAAGGGAATATAGTTATCTTAGGTAGTTCAATAGAAGCCTAGCATCTAGAACAAGGTCACTGTTGTCATCTGTGCTACACAGGAAGAATTGTTTCTTTTCCAGATACCATGATTTTAAAAGGATACAGGCATATTTGTGTGTATCAAAAGGAGGATTACCAGAATGCTAAACAGTCTTGGAAACCAAATAGCTAGTTGCTTTCCAGTGGTTCAGACTCCAAGCCAGGAGGGAGTTAAGATGGAAGGTGAGAGATAGTGTCAGGCCTACTTAATATTAGAAAGTGTAGGGTATATGAATGCCATTTTGTGAAAGAATGTAGTTGGTATTTAGGAAAACCAGAAAGGCAGGTCTGGGACCAGTAGGATTTAAACTCAAGGTGAAGAAATTTTTTAACCCATTTAGCTCTTCAAAAATAGAATAGACTATGAGTAAACAAGGTTTAAAATGTTCATGAGTTGGGGCTGGGAAGGTGGCTCAGTGGTAGAGTGCTTGCCTTGCATGAATGAGGCCCTGGGTTCGATTCCTCAGCACCACATAAGCAGAAAAAGCTGGAAGTGGCACTATGGCTCAAGTGGTAGAATTGAGCTGAAGAGCTGAGGGACAGTGCCCAGGCCCAAAATTCAGTCCCTATGACTCACTAAATGAATGAATGAATAAAATACAACAATAAAAAATGTTCATGAGTTGATAACTACCATGCATGTTTCATCTGGAATTCAAGAACATTGGGGATAAGACAATGAAGGGGGGGGTCTAAGATCTCATACAAATCTAATCTTCTATCATCTCAATAATCTTTAAGTTTGTAGTATGGTCCAGATTATGAAGGGAGAAGGGTATCCTTAGCTTATTTTTGGAGTGCATACTTTGAAGATTATTCCCTCTTAAAAAAAGAAAAAGAAAAGAAAAAGCAATGGGCACCAGTTGCTAATGAGGGTGATTATAGCTACTCAGGTGGTTGAGATCTGAGGATCACAGTTTAAAGCCAGCATAGGCAGCGAGGCCCTTGAGACCCTTATCTTCAATTAACCAACAAAAAGCCAGAAGTGATGCTACAGCTTAAATAGTAGAGCACTAGCCTTAAGCAAAAAAGCTCAGGGACAGTGCCTAGGCACTGTCAAGCCCCAGGACAGTCCCTCCCCTGCCCCTCGGATTATTTATACTACAAAATGAGAGTGTTCATATCACTGTGGAACCTACGACAGTCCCAGAAAGATAAAGAAAAACAGATGCTCAATAGAAATTCCAGAAGTCTATATACTTATAGGAGGGGAGAGTCATGGGGAAAGTTGTTACTATTTCCCAAGGACAGAAGCTATACTTGATACTGTGTGAGGTGAACACACATCTATAGTGGATATACCAGGTACTTAGAAATTGCTTTTGCTAAAAACATCGACTCTCCACTTGGGCTTGCAAATGTCCATTGGGCAACTAAAACTTGAGATGAAAATCCCATACTTCTGCTTGCATCTTGTTTGTATCTGCTTTGCTTTGCCCTATTATTATCTTTTGCACCTTGGATTCCAGAAACAACAGGTCTGATGCATCTTAGGACCAAGAGCTGATACACTTCTCTCCAAATGGCTTTCTTTCTTTCTTTTTTAATTTTTAAAATTTATTGTAAAGGTCAAGTACAAAAAAGTTAGTTACATAAGTAAGGTAATGAGTACATTTCTTTTTGAACGTGTTAGCCCCTCCTCCCTCCCTTGCTTCTCCACAAGTTGTAAAGTTCATTTCCAACACAATGTCTAGTGAGTATCACGGGTGCATTGTCACACCATTTCTGTGATTATCCTTCCCTAAATCAGATAAGATTATATATAAAACTAGAGGTACAAAAATCAAAAACAGTGATGACAGGGAATAAATCAAAGGAAAAGAAAAAAAGATATAACTGCAAATAGTACAATTAAAAAAACTCTTGCTTCCATTTTTTTGGAGTTCATTTCGATAAGCATCATTTTATATGGTCATATCCATGACACAGTTGAGCCTTTGTGATCCTCTGCTAAGATATCCTGACATATTCTAGTTATTACAAATGAGAGAAATCATGCAGCCTATGTTTCTTTGGGCCTGGCTTACTTTGCTTAATATAATATTTTCCAAGTCTTTCCATTTCCTTATGAATGGGGTGGTGTCATTCTTTCTGATGGAAGCATAGAATTCCATTGTGTGTGTGTGTGTGTGTGTGTGTGTGTGTGTGTGTGTGTGTTTCTTGATCTATTGAAGGGCAACTGGGTTGATTTCATATCTTAGCTATCAAAAAAAACTAGTAATAACAGATGCTGACAGGGATGTGGCCAAAGGGGAATACTACTAAACTGTTGGTGGGAATGTCAACTTGTTCAGCCACTCTGGAAAGCAGTATGGAGGTTCCTTAAAAGACTAACCATAGAGCTTCTCTATGACCCAGCAAATCCACACCTGGGCATTTACCCAAATGATCACAAACAAGGCCATACTAAAGCTACCAAGGGCATTCTTATCCCAAGGACCTTGGAGATAAATCCTCAGATAAAGATCACCAGATCACAGTTTGAGGCAGTGGAGCTTTTATGTTGGGATTCTTGGAGGTGTGGTTTTTCTTCTAGAACTCTGATAACTTGGGCGACCAGAGGCTAGTTCCATTGCAGGCCCTGGAGACAAACCTGGCCTAATCCTATAGAATTGACTGTTTTGGAAGAAACAGACAAACAACAAACAACAACAACAACAAATCCTGCTCATTTCTAGAATTTTTTTTTTTTTTGGTTGGTCGTGGGTCTTGAACTCTGGGCCTGGGCGCTGTCCCTCAGTTCTTCAGCTCAAGGCTAGTGCTCTACCACTTGAGCCACTGCACCACTTCTGGTTTTCTAGTGTATATTGGAGATAAGAGTCTCATGGACTTCTTGCTCTGGCTGGCTTCGAACCGTGGTCCTCAGATCTCAGCCTCCTGAGTAGCTAGGATTACAGGCGTGAGCCACGGGCGCCCGGCCAGAGTTAATATTCTTATAGTTCTGTTTCTCGGACTCTTCTTGTGGACAGAAAGGCTTTATCTCACATAGAGCAAAGGTCAATTTTGGAGACAGTTAAAAGGATGTCGATGAAGGCAGATTCTCACCTAGGAACCCAGGGAATAAGAGAGTGGGGAAAGAGGTCCAACTATGGGCCCACGAATGAATCATCCCGAGCCCTAACTGTCCAGGGTAGGGCACCGGCCACGCAGCAAGTCCGCGGCGAGGGGCTGGGGGGGGGGGGGGGGAGGGTCGATGGGCGGTGTGCACCTGATGCGGACAGAGCACGGATAACGCTAGGTCAGGGTAGGGGTGGTTTGATTGTTAAGGTGCCCCACCCGCGCGTATTCGGGGGGGTCCCTCTACTCCTAAAGCGCTCGCGGTGACAACTCCTGCCCCGGTGGCCGCAAAACCCCGGAGCGCCGGAGTGGGCGCACGGGCCGGCGCCCGGAGCTCTGGGCATGCTCAGTCGCGCGGGCAGGGCTCCGGCTCCGGGCGCGAGCCGGGCTGCTGCTCCTGCACCACATTCATCCTCTGCCAAGAGCAGCAGCCGGGCGCTCTAGGCTCGGCGCGCGCCGTTCGCGGGAAGACCCAGCCGCCGCGCCGCCGCCGCCGCCGCTCGCGCCCGGACCGCCCCCCGCGGCAGCCCCGGAGCCATGGCTAGCCTGGGCCACCCTGCCGCCTTCGGCCGGGTCACGCACGCCGTGGTGCGGGCGCTGCCCGAGTCCCTGAGCCAGCACGCGCTGAGGCGCGCCAAGGGCGACGAGGTGGATTTCGCCCGCGCCGAGCGGCAGCACCAGCAGTACGTGGGCGTGCTGGGCAGCAAGCTGGGGCTGCAGGTGGTGGAGCTGCCGGCCGACGAGAGCCTCCCGGACTGCGTGTTCGTGGAGGACGTGGCCGTGGTGTGCGAGGAGACGGCCCTCCTCACCCGGCCCGGGGCGCCCAGCCGGAGGAAGGAGGTGAGTGCCCGCCGGGGGCCCCGCCACGCCAGGGGCGCCGCCCTCCCCGGCGCCCCCCCCCCCCCCCGCGGGCGGCCGACTGGCCGGGGACCCGGAGGGTGGGGGGCAGCTAGTTCACAACTTCCCGTGGAGAGCCGGAGAGGGCGTGTGCACGGTGTGAGCGCCCTCGGGAGGGGAGGGGGGCGCCTCGTTCACACCTCCAGGCTGTGGGGAGAAGAAGATCCTCGCAAGTGTGAACCTGCCCCCTCCGGCAGGTGGATGGGTCGGGGAATCCATCTCGGGAGCGTTTTTTTCATTTGTAGCAATTAAATGGCGAAGACCATGCCACTCTGCGTGTTTCCTGGGGAGTGGGGGCCGACGGGGGGGGGGTGCCCCTCAGGTGGGAGGGTGGAGTTCAGGGCCCCCTCCAGGGGTCAGCGCCAGCCGGTGACCATGACCTCCTCCCCCCTCCCCCCCAGTCCTCCCAGGTGCTCTATGCTGGGCAGGAGGATGACATAACATGGCGTTGGTGCCAACAGACCTGGGCGTCCAGAGTTAGTTTTCAGTGAGTCCTGAAGAATGAATTTAAGCAGACTGTTTTGTCGATGAGCTGTGTGAAAAGTGTGTGTGAAAGAACTGGATTACAAAAGCTGTACACACTCGCTCGTTCTCTCTCTCACACACACGCATGCTCAGCTGTTTTGTGTGTGTATTTAATTATAAATGGTGGTTTACCAAGTTCTATAATTTATATTCTATATTTTTAACTTCCAGTAATGGAGAAGGGGGTGTGTGTTCTCAGTGGATAGTGACTACTTTAAGATATTGCAGCTGGTGCAAATGGCTATGATTGTTTTAAACATAATGTAGGTTAGTGGGGAGAGACAAATAAGAGTAAAGTTGGATTTCAAAATGTCACCTGGCTCAGGATTCTTCTTACTGATGCTGAGGTCCTATAGCATTTCAAGGTGGAGGTGGTCTCTTTCATATCTAGAGGTTAAGGGGTGTGGGTTGTTTATTCATTTTTGTTGTTATTGTTGTTTGTCTATTCAGTTCACACTGGAAGTGTCTCATAGAGCTTCTAAGTAAAATATGCTTGTCTTTACTACTTGGATGGTGGAACCCTACAGGATCCCCAAAGAAGCATCTTCCATTTGTTTCTCACTGAGATTATCAGCTATGTAAGCAGGAAACCAGAAGAGTAAGAGGTCTCATCCTGTTAGCCCTTTTATTTCTTGTCACCCTTTTCTATCTTTGAGTGTGTGAAACACCCTTCTCTTATTTTAACCTGATAAGGAATGTCACCCAATTTGAATAACTTCATTGTGTTCTAGGCCATATGGTAGAGCAGTGGTTTTCACTGAAAACAGTAAAAATGGGTTTCAAACCCTTTCAAAATGGTGCTCATTAGAAAAGAGTAGTTCGATGCCCACTTGAGACTCTCACTCACTTATTCATTCATTTGATTTTATTCCTATAGTAAAATCTTCTAAATATTGGTCTTCCTGTTATAAGATGGAGCAGTGATATGTCTGGACTTAAGTCTACATTTGAAATATCAGAATGTGGCTTTATACTAGGATCAACTCATTGCTAAGCTGTTTCTTTTTGTGTGTGTCTTTCTTTCTCTCTTCCATTGCTAAGCAGTTTCTCTCTCTCTCCTCTCTCTCTCTCTCTCTCTCTCTCTCTCTCTCTCTCTCTCATACACACACACACACACACACACACACACACACACACGTACCAGAGCTCCACTTCAGACATTTTGGATGGTAGTTTCTCGGAGAAAGGAATCTCGTGGACTTTTCTGCCTGGCCTGGTTTTGAACCACAATCCTCAGATCTTAGTCTCCTGAGAAACTAGGATTATAGGTGTGAGCCACTGGCTCAGGTGGGTTTTTTTGTTGTTGTTGGTGGTGGGGTTATGTTGTTGTTTTTGCCAGTCTGGGGCTTGAACTCAGGGGCTGGGCACTGTTCCCGAACTTCTTTTGCTCAAGGCTAGCACTCATCACTTGAACTACAATGCCACTTCTGGCTTTTTCTGTTTATGTGGTTCTGAGGAATTGAACCCAGGGCTTCATGCATGTAAGGCAAGCACTTTACCACTAAGCCACCTTCCCAGCCCTACTGATGGAGTTTTGTTTTTTTATTATGCAGGAGATTGAACCTCGTGTGCATGAGAGGCAAATATTCTACCACTAAGCTATTTCCCCAATCCCAGAGGTCAACATAATATAGCAGGGGTAGGAAACCTTTTTCTGCCAATGGTCATTTGGATATTTATAACATCATTGGATAATACAATAGGATCAGTACAGGCAGACTGACAGAAAGAATCTGAGAATCATCCATATTTCTCTTGTCACATACAAATTATTTCTTGGACTTTATATTGTACTCAGGCTAGATGTTCCCTACCTCTGTTGGATAAGATTATTAGTTTGGATCAGCTTCACCACTTCAGTTCTGTGACCTTAGGGAAATTGTCCCTTGCCTCAGTTTTGTCATCTTTGGCTTTGCATGAGACTATCTGTTGCACAGACTGGTAATAAACTTATTGATCCTCCTGAAATTCACAGTCAGAACACTTATGAATGTTGACTGTTGTTATTCACTTAACAATGATGGGTCAGGAAAAAGTGACTCTTTGAATAAGAAATGGGCTGTTCATAATGTTGTTAGTGACAGTTCTGCTTCCCAGCATAAAGGCAAGATATTTTCATGCTTTGAGTTTCATCCTAGAGTGTTATGTGCCACTGCCGTCAGCTTGGGTCTCTGTCTGATCTCACCTCAAAGCATTTTTCTTATTCCATATGATCTGGGTCACAGGATAAGGAGGCTTTTCAGTCACAGAAAGGATACCACCCATCTGTTTTTGGGTAAAATGCTTCTAGAGAGCAGGGCTGTGCTGGATAATGCATTTTGAAATCTCTCAGCATCAGATTTTGAACTTTGTAGGTATTGATATTTATGAATGAATGGATGGATGGATGAATGAATAAATGAATGAAATGCTGAACAGGCAAGCTGATGATAACTTCAAGGTCCTCTTTGGATCGCGTTAATTCTTTTCTTGTCCATAGCAGCCAAGGAATTATTTTAAGATTATTATCATCAATTTCCCTGCTTCCTCTCTTCACTCTCCATTTCATTCGCACACTGTAGCCAACTTGGCCATTTTAAAACTCTGATTCTGCTGACTAAAATTCTTGCAGGGACCCCATTGAGCTTAGATAAGCTCATGGAGCTGGGCTATTTTCCTTTCCAGCTTGAACTTAATCTCTGGCCCCACTGAAGTCTCTGTCAACACTTTGCTTATGCAAGGTTCTTTCTTTCAGGCTCATCATACTATTATTGCTTTTCTGGACACGGTTTTCCTTTTTCTGGGACCTCGCTCCTTCCTCCTTTCTTCCTTTTACCTGGCTGTCCTATTCATATTTCAGTTCTCAGTTAATTTGTCATTAATTGCACTGAGCTAACATTTATTGGGTACTTGCCATTTGCCACAAACAGCCAGGTTTGTGATATGCATTTCATAAATGTTCGTATCACCTCTTTGAGATCAAGACACACATTACTCCTTTCGTAAAGCTGATGACACTGAGGCTTAGAGATGTTTAATACATTAGCCAAGGTTGTGAAATGGCTCCAGTGATACCCAGATTTGAACTCAGGCTTCCAGAATTCCAAAGATCTAGTCCCACCTTCCATTATTTTAGACCTTAGCTTTCCCAGCACAGGAGGATTCTCTTTTCATGAGCTCCATTAACTCTCAATACTTCCTATTAGAGTAATATTTCTCATGCCGTATGGTATCTTTCTGTTTATTGCCTGTTTATCTTTCTGTGTCCCTCACTACTATGTGAAGGCAGGAATCATGTCTACATTGGTACACATTTTATCTCCAAAGTTCTTGCACCCAAAGGAAAACAAAATATTTTGTTGAAGAGATGTTTCCATGATTTCAGAGTTCCAAAGTTTTATTATGGATGTTGATGGTTTATAACTTTAGCTCTCTTTCCTGAATTGTTACTATTGTTGTTTTTGCTTGTTTTTATACAAATCTTGAGCAGTTCTTTCTTAATCAAAATATTGTGCTATTTTTAATGACATTTTTCCTTGGAAGAAAACTAAGAACCAAATTTAAGAAAGCACTCTAATGAAATTCCACCACCTCAGCAGCACCTCCAGAAGTTTATAGTACCTAGGCCCTGGTCTAGAAAATTTGTTTTATTGAAGGAAACTGCATGTATAGAAAATCGGTAAATATGTGTCAATTGTCTAATAATTCTGTGTCTTAAGGATTATGAGTATTTTAATATCTTTAGTACTCTGAAAACAAATAAATGAGACTGGAAAAGTATACGATATTACAAGTGAATCCTGCTTATTTTTAGGGGGAAAATCAACTTTTAAATGACAAGCTTTGTAAACAAATTATCTAAAAGCTGAAATAGGACATGTGACAGGCTATGAGGCTTTGGTGTTTTAAAAATTATTTAAAATTTTGTACAGATAATGCATTGCACTGTACCAAGTTCAGAAAGCATAAGAGTTTAGTGAAAGTCTCAGCCCTAGCCGGATGTTGGTGGCTCATGCCTGTAATCCTAGCTACTCAGGAGGCTGAGATCTGAGGATCACAGTTCAAAGCCAGCCTGGGCAGGAAAGGCCATGAGACTCTTTATCTCCAATTAACCATCAGAAAACTGGAAGTGGTGCTGTGGCTCAAATGGTAGGGCACTTGCCTTGAGCTGTAGAGCTGAGGGACAGTGCCCAGGCCCAAAGTTCAAGCCCCACAATCAACAAAAAAAAGTCTCAGCCCTGTTTCTACTCTTTCAGCTAGTTACTTACTACTACCATTTTAAAACTCTTTCCTTCAATACCAAATAAATGATTAACTGACAAAGCTTACTTAAGCAAAATTGTGAAATGTATCCTATGTCCTTTTGCCCTTCTTTAAGAGCAATTTTCTCTTTTCACAGTTATCATGTAGTTATATGTGGAATAATTCTGTCTAGGAGA